TTAATTTTACCTTACAAATCCGATATCTTATAGATATCTGATATTTTGAGTATCAGTTATCAGAAATGACAGGTTATTGGATTTGAATTATAGAACCAATATGGTGGATCAACTTCTTATTAGTTATGGAAGGTTACTGGTTTTGACAGGATCGGTTTTAACAGGGTGTACTGTAAATTAAATACAGATTAATATAACAATATTTGCTAAGTTTAATTTATATTTAGATTAATTTTAAAAATTCAATTAAATATTTTTAATTATTTGAATTAAATTTTGAATTTGATTTGATTTTACAGAGTACTAAATCTATATATATATATACAAGAAAAATTAATGTTAATATAAATTATAAATTGAATTTAATAATCTTAATAAAGAAAATATACTTATAGAACCTATATCTTTAATATTCTCAAATTCTTTAAGTAATAAGAATAACAATAAAAATAAAAATAATAATAATAATAGTAGTAATGATAACAATAGCAATACAAGTAATATTGATAATTTTCACTAGTTATCTATAAGTAAATTCTAGCTATTTTACTATAATTTTAAAAATCTTCTTGAGAAAAATAATTCTGTACTAGATAAAAGTATATATAAATAGAGGTCAAGCTTAAATAAATTTTAAGAAAACTAAAAAACTTTCTAAAAATTATTTAAGTAAACAAATTTGCTTACTAGATGATTTAAAGAATAATATATAATTATACTAAAGAATTATTATATAAAAATTTATTTATTTTTTTTTTTTGTTTTTTTTCTTTTTTTCTTGTTTCTTTTCTTTCTTTTATTTTTTCTTTTTTCATTCTTTTTCTTTATTCTTTTTTTTCTTTATTCTTTTTCTTTTTTTCATTTCTTTTTCTTCATTTCTTTTTTCTTCTTTGTTCTTTTTTCTTCTTTGTTTTTTTTTTTTATTCTTTTTTTTGTTTATTTTCTTTTTCTTTGTTCTTTTTTTTTTCATCCCTTTTTTTTTCTTTTATCTTTTTTTTCTTTTGTCTCTTTTTTTTCTTCATTTTTTTTTTCTTATTCTTTTTCTTTTTTTATTTCATTTCTTTTTTCTTATTCTTTTTTTTCATATCTTTTTTTATTTTTTTCTTTCTTTCACCTATTGTCTTTTGTTCTTTTTTTACTTTTATTTCTTTTCTTTTCTCTTATTTTTTTCTTTGCCCTTCTATTTTATCTTTTTCTTTTCTTTACCTTTTTCTTTTGTTCTTTCCCTTTTCTTTTGTTCTTTTATATTTATTCATTTCTTTCATTCTCTTTATTTTCTTTTGCATATTTCTTTTATCTTTTTTATTCATTTTTTTTATTTTTTTTTTGTTTCTTTTTTATTCCTTTTTATTTAGTTTCTTTCTTTGTTCTTTTTTTTCATTTTTTTTCTTTTTCTGTTTTATTTTTTTTCTCTGTTGTTCTCCTTTCCTAATACTAATATTATTTTTCTATAGATTTTTCTATAGTACCTCTACAGGATATGTGTTAAAATCACCATAGTTGGAGAATTATTGGTGAGAGTTTTGTACTTTTTGCACCTTATTATTCTTCGTTGTCATTGTTAAAGAATTGTCAGTGAGGGTTTTATACTTTTACACTGTATTATGTTGCAGTTACTATAGTTATGCTATGCTAAATTGGAGTCATCATAATTAACATAATTTCTAGTTTAAATTTACTATTTTTATGACATATTGTCTTTTCTGTAATGCTGTCATTTCATGTAATGTTACATCATTATTAGAGAAATAGTTAGGGTTAGGATTAGAATGATTAGATTTTATCATTATAATTAAGAATTAATTTTAAAAATATACTTTATATCATGAATGTAATATTGATATGAAATAATTCGATTTTAAAAATATATAATCACAGGATATTCTATAGAATAGGTGGGCAATATAAGAAATAAGCTTCGTTAATGATTAGTAATCATTAATTTTAATATCGGAGTTGCGGAGTTTGCGGAGTTTGCCCACCTATAGAACATCCAAAATTTTTTTATAGGGTCAATGTATGTACTGTACGTACATACATAATTTTATATCGCTATATAATGAGCTCATTCGTCTAATTCCACCAAACTAGTTGGCCAATATTGAGGGTTGTGTAAAAATCCGCCGATATGTTAAATGAATTGTCTAACGAGATTAATTGTTAAGGTCTTTGACGATATGCGATTATCATTTATCAATCTGTAAGGTCAGTAATAATTATGAACATTACGAATTACAACCTAGGTTACTACCCTAATTACTCAAAGTTGTAAATATGGCGTAATGGTATAATTGTCGAAATACAATAATGGTTGTAATTGCCGTAATAGGTTGAAATTATAATCAAAGACATAGTAACTGTACTTACAAGCGTATGATAACTTCTTTTGAAAGTACTCATATTCGCATGCTTGTATAAGCAAGTCAATCAGACTACTTTTTAGTACAAATAGACATTGTAAAGCTTTAATATATAGTATAGATTTGAATATGCTCATGATTATTTGGCAATCTATATGTGTGTTAGCGTTTGTAATTAGCAATTCATATCGGTATCCTTAATTCAATGATAATCTATAAGATTACAAAATTTAAAAATGCTGAAATCTCGTTAATATCTGGTTTAACATTACGCGTTGGGCGGTTACTTATTGGCATAATCAGATCATTGCGCCAGTTATGATCATCACGGCTATTTACCTCCATTACAACCATTACTCTTATTACTCCTATTACACTATTACGGTAAAAAATTACAGCATAGAGACGAAAGGTTGAAACTTCCAACCCTAGTAAACTTATTACGGCAGCAACCTTATCTGTTTGGCAAAAAATCCGGAAAAAAGACAGAAATATCACAATAAAAGATTTATGAAAAGGCTTTTATAATTTCAATGTCGACCAGAATTTTATCATGATTGAAGTAACCAATTGAAATAGCAATAGTAATTAAATATTTTATCATTAATAGATGGCTATAAATTGGCTTAACCCTTTAAGAGTAAACAAGGTTAACAATCATTTAACACCAAGAAGTCAAAACTCAGACTACTAACACAATTAAAACCTCAACTTCAGAGGCAATAGAAAAGTCAACGTTGCTAATACTCACAAGCGTCAACATTAATAATACATATGTGGTGTGTGGGAACATTAATCATTAACAACTCAATAATGAGAACTCATCAACTCAGGAAGAAAACCCAAAACGTCTTTCCCATAAGCAACCAATACATTTTAAATTTTAAAATTCATAACTATCTGACTAACTTGACAAAGTATCCTTCTAAAAAAGCTCTTAATTTATCAACGTCATTCTCAAACACAGCGCTAGCAATATATAAATCAGGTCGAACAAGTATAAAAGCCTGCTGGCCAATTTCTTTCGTGATGCCATATTTTTCATGTAATTCGAATTGTGATTCCATAAATATATGCTGTTCTCGACCTTCTTCCAAGAATGACATAAATGGTATATCAGCAGTCTGAACAGCACCCTGATACGAAACGATAACTGGGGTTATAGCGTTTTTATATCCAGAGTAAATCTCCAACAGGGTATTTATAAGTGGATTACGATCAGCTGTGACACCCTTAGTTAAAGTGAATAGAATAAGGGTATGTTTCAATGCAGTTGAACAAAAGACATCAAATAAAGTTATGCGATCATGACTTTTTTTTGGGATTACTTTCTTTAATGGTCCGTCTATTGCATAATGACCCGCTTTGATCAATTTGTTTTTAGAGTGTGAAAGAGGATTGTATTTATGAAGAATCTCGGATGTTTCGGGAAAATATTTGAGATCAGTTTGAAATAAATTAGTTTGAAAATTAAATGCAAGTTGTGGAAAAAATTGGAACATGAAGGGTGCTACAGACGACCGTAACAAATTGCTAATAAAATCATTGCCACTCAACATTTTTGTTGCAAAACTTGTACCAGAAACCACGTTCTTGCCAACAGGACGTCTTTCTTGTTCGTAACTATTAAGGATCTTATCAGGGTTGATAGCCTGATTCTTAATAACTAGTGCCAACTTGAATGCTAAATTATGAGCATCTTGAATCCCCAAGTTCATGCCCTGGCCACCAACCGGCGAATGACAATGTGCAGCATCTTTGTTTAATAAAGAAGTAATGAAATATTATTGTTGTACAAACACATAAAATATAAAATTTATTTACCTCCAGCAAGGAAGACACGACCTGTTCGATATCTATTCGCAACTTTTTCACTAACTTTAAAATTAGCTAACCAAACTGGATCTTTTATCTCAAGTTTAATAGGAGCAGTTTTCTTATCTATCATTTTTTGCAGTTTATCCAGTGTAATGTTCTCTTCAGGAACTCTGCCAATAATACGAAAAGTTTTTTTTCGGGAATCCAATGGTAATATTGCGATATGTCCTATATATTTAACATAATCAAATATGAATTAAAATGCACTATCAAGAATTTTATAAAAGCAAAATGCATTACCTCCAGGAGCTGCGAAAAGGGTTACTTGATAGTCTTTAACCAATTCATGATCAATACTTACATCAGCTACGGCCCACGAAGCATTCAATGTCTGACCTATAGGAAAAAGAATAATAATAATTGGATTATGTGCTAGCTTTTTTTAATTCGAATGAACTAATTATTTTATATATTTAACCTTCAAAAATCCAATCATTTCTTCCTTTTCTGACACTGGAATGTACACCATCGCATCCTATTAAATAGCGACAAATGATTTCTTCCTCTTTACCGCTATTTATATTTTTGACAATAGCGATGATATGATCATCCTTCTCTTCGTATTTTATCAGTTCCATGCTGAATTCAACATTAGGAACATTTTCTATCCCCATTGATTTCTTTCGATGTAAAGCATCGAATAAATAATCTTGTGTCTTATTTTGACGGGTCATTAATGCAAAGGGAAATAAACTATTCATGCTACTAAGATCGATCTTGAATAATTCCTGAGTACTTTGGTATGTAGTGAATTGTTTCACTTTGACACCATTTTCCAAGAAAGGATCAATAAGACCCCTAAGAGAATTAAGAAAAACGTGAATAAACAGTTTTTATTTGAGATTAAAAAATAAATATTAATGAATATTAAATCACCTATTATCAAAAATTTCCAAAGTTCTAGGTGATACATAGATAGCCTTTGAAAAATTTGGATGCTTATTGAGTTTTTCGATGATACGGAAATTTATTTTGAATGCAGCCAATTCGTTAGATAGAAACAGGCCAACGGGACCTTTTTTTAAAGAAATTTTAATAGTAAAAATTCTCAGAATAAACGTTAGTTAAATTTTAGTCGAATTTTAACTTACCTGCACCACAAATTAGTACGTCGACATGATTCTGTTCCTTAGAGAATAGCATATTGCAGTAAGACCTCCAGAAATGTATTCTCTTTGGGACTAGATGTGCATTTAGAGAGTGTGTGCATTTATAGAGAGCAAAATGTATAATGCTCTTATAAGATTGGATCAATCTACACCGTGCATTTAAAGAGAATTTACACAGAGCGTGTATTTATAAAGTGTACATTTATGGAAATCTGACTGTTATTAAAAAAAATTTTTTTGTCAATACTTTCGGTTGAGTTTCCATTTTCAGCTATAAAGTTATATATGTCGTGCGTCAAATTAAATCTGCGTCAGATAAAATCATTACAATTCCGCTAATGCCTAACATAGGCACCCACTCTAACCCTAAAAAACTCGCATTTAAATTTTAATCTGACGCAAATTTTAATCTGATGCACGACATATATAACCGAGGCTTTTTTTTCACATACACTACATTATCCCTTTTTTAGAAGAATAAAATGTTAATAACTTATAAATTTGGTTACAAACAGATTCTTTTATGAAAAATTTTAGTTTCATCATTTTAAATACTGTAGCGATAAGCGCGGAAATGCAGAATAGGAAACATGATTGGTTGATATATTTATCATATGAAGTCATAAGAAAATTCTTTTTTAAATGACACACAATTTCGATTGTTTGTGTAATCTGGAGATATTTTTTATTGGTATGTATAAGAGTTAGTGGTATTTGTAGTCAATCTAGATTTATCAACTTGACTAAGTTTATACTTAAAAAATTGACTTAGCCTGCTATGTCAAAGTCGATTTACTTGTAATGCATAATATATAACTTAAAATGGATTATGAAGTTTCCAATACTTACCCCTTTCTTTTTGGTTGTTTAATTATATATACGCAAACCTCTCTATAGTGGATACGTGTCGCCTCATTGACAATCACATCACCAAGCACACAGCACATATAGTGAAAATTAATATAAAAAAATTGCTAATGATTAGTAATAATTAATGCTTCGATTTTTAGTCTGACTAATTAGGATAGATCTGATAATTCGGATTAAATACATTTATCAGTATCCGTCAATTTTTAGAGGATAGATCTGTAGTCATAATCCTAAAAAACTTTGTGCAATTTACTAATTTAAGTCAATTATATACGTAGCTGTTAGGTGAAATCTTTCTTTCGTATAGTGACGAAAGACAAAGCTTAAAACCTGAAAAAGCGAAAAACAAAAGCCAATTCTCTTTACGAAAGACGAAGCCTAAAAGCAGAAATAACGAAAGGCGAATACCTGATAAAAGACAAGACCCGACGAAAATCTAAAAGGTTAAAGGCAGAACTATAATAAGTATTACATTTTCATGATTTTGACAAACAAGATCTTGAATTTGTTTATGGCTGTTAGAAATTATAGTTATAAAGATAGAAATGTGAAAAATGTGATGTATGCTATACGGTATATTTTCAATATTTAAGGTTTATTTGCTTATCACTATCGACTGTTAAGTATTTGCAGCTGTTTTAAAAAGGCGTAAACAATGATTTTCATATACTTATTGTGAAAGATTAGTAAAAATTATAGCGGTTTGCAAGACGATGCGACTCCTATGATCCGAAATTGGCCGGGCCAAACCGGAAATTTGTGTTTACGATCGGATAAGTTATTTATATGTTATACAGACTTTTTAAGAACTCAACAAAAAATCACCAAAAAAACATCTCTAGACTTGGTTGAGTGTTAAACGTTCGTTATGTAAAAATAATTTAAAAATATTAAACTTTGCTTAAAAGACAAAATATCCTGTCGTCTATTGGACATGCAAAGTTCTGCAATTAAATAAAAATCATTTTATATGAATAATATATCGCTATCGATATACAATAAATTGCCAACTCTTGCATAAGTATATCGTAAAAGTGCGGATTTGAGTAACCGGATCTCACTGCCAAAACACAACTTAAAACAAAGGTCCTAAAAATCAAGCGTGCAACATTTATCCTAATTTAAGGAGTTATCCTTGTTACCAAATTGTCTTTCAATTAATCAATTACTTTCCATCACTTTCCAAAATATTTGATTGGCTAAAAATAATGCTAAATTAAAATTTTGATATATGTTTTAGTTCAAATTATTAACAGTTGATCAAAATTTCACGGGTAAAATTTTAATATGGGGTCAAATGATTGGCGCACCGAAATTTTATAAGTAAAATTTGACAAATTTTGCTTTTTAGCCTTATTTAACAATAAAGAAGTTTTCGGTTTAATTTCTGGGTATAATTTCACAAATTCTTCTATCATTTGAAGGTTCTTATGAAATTTTAAAGGCGGTTAAAAATAAAATGGAAAATAATCTTGATCACGAAGTTTGCCAATTTTTAAGTATGATAGAAGTTTGTTTTAATTGGTTGTTGATCCAAATCATCAGATTGATCGTAGATCATGCCTTATATGTCAAATGAAATTCTTTTTGTTCACCCCTGTAATTTTTGCCAATCGAATTTCAGGATCAGGTGTAACGCAAACCCATTTTTTTACACAAAAACAAGAATAACTAAATTTTAATTGGAAAACCACCTACTGCGGCCTAGAGGGCATGCCCCAGGCTGGAGGCATGCCCCTCCATGCCCGGGCATGCCCCTTGACATGTGCCATAGCAGGCTTTTATTAGCTACCCCCGGACCGTCTACGGACGCAAAAGTATCGATTTTGATAGATCTACGGTAGCTTTTTTGATAGATCTACAACACATCCTAAATCTATGTTA